GCAAAACATGTTCAGCATCCAAAAAATTAGTCCTTTTATCCAGAAAAATATACAGACCTCTTAACGAATAGTCCGTGAATTGTTCCATTAATTGTCACTGTTCTGACATTCTAAATTCATTTCAAGCTTGCGAGACACGTTCAGCATCCAAAAAATTAGTCCTTTTATCCAGAAAAATATATAGACCTCTTGACGAATAGTCCATGAACTGTTCCATTAAATGTCACTGTTTTGATATTCGAAATTCTCTTCAAGCTTGCAAAATGCGTTCAGCATCCAAAAAATTAGTCCTTTTATCCAGAAAAAGATATGGACCTCGTGACAAATAATGCGTGAACTGTTTCATTAATTGTCACTGTTCTGACAATTTCATTTCAAGCTTACGAGACACGTTCAGTATTCAAGAAATGAGTCCTCCTAACGTTGAATAGATAAACCTAATCCCACGATCTCGTCTGCCTCGCAGATACGTGTTTAATCTACCTGGCATCCATTAGTACGTACCAATTCGAAAATTTATTCTCGTCAGCCATCTTACATAGTGTACACAGCTGTTGATCCGGTTCACCGGAGTTATCCAAGCTCGGCTTTCGGGATCTATCGATTCCCAAAAGGCGATCGCGAAGCGCGTATTAACGCTGGCGAACAGATACACGGATATACGGATTGATAGCTGCGCCAACAACGATTTCCAAAGCCTGTCTCGCGCGTGTTCGCATTTTCCATCAAACTGAGGGCAAACCCTCTTGTACGCGTTGGAGGTGATGCGGCGCGGCAGGGAAGCTTTCACGCTGATGAATGGCTGGCGGTGACGCGATTAAAAGGACACGCGTGGAAAGTTATCGCGGTCGTTGCGTTTTCGAGCACGCTGCACGCTCGCGATAACGATGGAAAGATGACCTGACCACTCTCGTGGCTCTTTGTTACCCTCACGTCGAGATCTATGCGCCACGTGTACAGGTGACGTGATGTTTACTTGATGAGAAGCTCGCGGACGCTGTACACGTGCAAGTTCTATTACCACTTCATCCAGTGATCCCGACGATCGCATTCAGCGATCATCTGTCCCTCGTTAAATTTAGCTAATGACTAGAATCATCAGAATTCTTGAAAATTGCAAATAATTGTACAAGGGGAATAATAGAAATTTTGATGGAAGAAATTCTTGACGATACTGACGACGAATTGACACACGTTGTCATCGAATTATTATTCGAATAATTCGGGATAATTATTCGTGGCTAAAGTTGTCACGAAAGTTTGTGAAAATGGTGTAGGAAATTTTTCGGGAGATTGAAATTATGTATCGTTAATTATCTATATACTTATGCTTGGTGATTGCTTTAAACGGACTCACATGTCAGAGAAACGTAAACAACAAAAAATTTCATGCTATCATTCAAACAGTTTAATGTATCATTTTATTTAAAGATTTCGTAGATAAATTGCTGCTAGATGATACAAAAAAATATGAGCCAAGAGCAAAGAGTTAATTGGACTGGAATGCAGGGGCGAGCCTGTTTTCATAATATTTCTTGTCCAATTATGATTTAGAAGCAATTTTATTCGATATCTCTGCAATCTGCAATTGTCAAAACACGGTATTTCAATTGCAAGAACATTTCCATTCTAATCATCTCTCTCACTTTCTCTGCCTTTTAAGCTAAATAATCAACGATTTTTCGATTATATTGGAGATTAAATTCACAGAGGATCAAGACTCCGATTATTTACAAACCGCGTGTACAGTGGCCTCGATCGCCATAGGCTCCCCATAGGAATCGAACGGTGTTCCGTGAATCCAGTCAATCACGGCAATTTGCATCGACCGCGTTGGTCTCTCTACGTCCTCGTCCACCTTGTCCTCCGTGTTTTCTATTATCTCTGTCGGCCATCCGAGCCGTGCCTTTAACGCAAATCATGTCTGATTGAGGTTCCAATCGGAATTCGTGAATAGAACTTGATTTAGTGGCGTGCGTACGTGGAAGGAGGCGGCGAGGTTGCTTTGGTTAGTCGCTTGCTTGCATTTCCCCCTATTGCGAAACGCAAACCACCAAAGATGACTGGGTTCAAACCACTTCTGCCCCTCCCCTCCTCTGCCAGCTAGTTCAGACAAATAATCTAGTAATGATCGGAGCATGAAGTTATTAATCGAAGCGACAGTATCTACTATATACTTCGCAGTGTGCTTCGTTTTTTCGCTTGGGAAGAATTTTTCAATTATTTCAACCGACACCGAAGATAAAACAGTTCGAGTAATTAAGAGAGAAGTTCAAAGCATCGGATCTACGATAATTTATCAATAACAATAATATTTCTGCTGTGCATAATTACATGTTTCATAATTTGTAAATAAATCATAGCAAAAGGAACCTTTAAAATAATTAAAAAAGAAAGAAAAGAACGCGGAATAAATTGAATCGGAAGCCCAATTGTGCCCGCACGTTCGAAAAACGAATCGATCAATTGAGCGCCGGTCGTCGTATCTGACTTTCAATGTTTGCTCCCGTTCGCGATATATTTATTTGCTCGCTTAGTGAATTCATGGATCGGTTTTATATACCAAAATTCGCACAGAATTTCTCGCGACGCGATCGATCGATAATTGTTTTCTCTCTCTCTCTCTCTGTCGTGAAGCTTGTCGCTTTAACTGGTCGTTTGGAATATTTATTTGAAACTGCCGACAAATTTCTGCGACTCGCGAGCTGTGGGTGCTTGGGAGAAAGTAAATGCAAAAGTAAACTTCAAGAGGCGAGAGCTAACTCGAGTCATAAACATCATATGGTTATAATGGCAATTTGTATTATTACGATAATCGATTGGAATTGGTGGTCGTTGAAACGACATTGAAACGAGTCGTTCGATTGCAGAAGTCGAGGAGCGCTCCGGCGGGAAGGCGCGCGGCGGTAAACTAGCGCGTCGTGCGCGCTCCTTCAAGGAGGACTTCCTGGAGAAGCTCTCTCATATGCGGTCGCCTGGTAGCGGAAGCGGCGGCGGAGGCAGTGGAGCGGCCACAAGGGCTGCCTCGCCCTCCTCGCCGCGGACACCACGTGACAAAAGCGCGCCCGGCTGCACCGATGCCGCAGCATCGACAACCCTCGACAAAAATCCCCTCCGTGACCTGCACATCCACGTGCGACAGGTGCAGCTGGCACTGCTCCACTTCAGAGACGTCGTGTCGAAGAAGAAGCTCGAGATGCTGCCCGGCAACGGCACCATCGTCCTCGATACTGTCACCACTATACACACTGTGCTCAAATCCTATCTCCTCTACGAGAACAGGTCAGTTGCTATTTGATTGATAGATTGTCGCGTCGACAATCCTTCTATCTGAATCTTAGTAGCTTAGTAGTAGAGACCCCTGCTTCTCCTCGTCGAGCGAACGGAGATTTATCCAGGATATCTTTTTAATTTATGCTTTCAGTTTCGAAATTTGCTGTTAAATGTAATTTTTTAGTTGTCGAATATCGTTAGAGAATGATGATCGCTCGACGATCGTTCACGTTTTCTTGATCAAAGCTCCACTTTGGGATCAGCGACGAATCAAGTGTATCAAGCCCTAGCACAATTACTCAAACTCTGCGACGACGTGCTGCTACACGGTGATCAGTCTTCTGCGCTGGACACCGAGAACGTGACACACATCATAGGATTAGTCGAAGAAGCTGTGAAAAACTTGGTTGCCCTGGCGAATGAGAAGATCGCCAACAGACAGAAACCTGCCGCCACCGTTACGAATAGTAATAGGTATGATTCTTTATTATTATTCAGAGGCCTAGCCTCTACTCAGAAACAGTCAGAAATTTTCAATAAAATTTACGTTCTTCGAGTCTAATTGTTTTTACGAAGTTTACCAAAGTTTACCAAAGTTTAGTATCGAATGTTTGACATTTTTTTGTGCCGTCATAATCAGCGACGTAGAATTTTGATGAGGATGAACCGTCATCGGATCGTCACGCTTTCAGAACGTCCGGTTATGGATCGGAATTGACGCCACAAAGAAATTCTTTACCTGATATCCCGTTAACCCCGAGGGAAAGGCAGATTTTAGAGCAGACCGCTGCGACTACTAGCTTGGTCCGTAGCTCGCATAGTTCAGAGTCGATTTTAAGGGATTCTAGTCCTCCCCCGAAACCGCCGCTCCCCGAGAGGTAGTTCCCTATAAGCTTCTTATAGCAGTAGAGTAGTAACAGTGCATGTACTCTTGTGTCTGAGTTGAGAAATAGTACTATTATACTCCAAAGTGAGTATCAGTTTGGCAACTTGGTCGTAACGTCTCGGTGATTTTCAGAACTAATGTGTGTCTGTCGGAAGAAAATAGTTCATCCGGTACACCGCCGCCATTGCCACCGAAACGGAGAACAAGAGCTCAACAGTTGCTCGATGAATCTGAAGGTCTTTTAGCATCTAGTCTCGACGGTGTTTCCCTACGAAGTCGATCTCCAGAGGATTCGTCGTCTTTTCTAAGCGCGTCGGCTGGTAGTTTGGATTCAGCCCTGAACCATTCTCGTGACGAGGACGAGATACGGGCGATCATGGGACCAAACGACGAGTCTCTGAACGACAGTATGGATCTCAGTCTGATGGCTACTATCCAGGGTAATTAATGACATTTTGGAGAAAAAAAAAAGAAGAATTTTCTGATTGAAAAGCTAAATCAGTAGTTGCTTTATTAAAGATTTCTATTTAAATTTGTGACAACGAAATTAGAACCTTTCTAAGAAGGTAATGATAGAACTGTATATAAGTACATTTCCTTTTGTGTCAAAAAGACCATGGTATGTTTGGTGCTTAGTCAGCGAAGTATAGTTTTCAACTGCGCTTGTCTGCGATCGTTGAATCAGTCTTTCTGAAAGAACCTTAGAATACAGACCAACTAAATTTCACGTTAAAAAAAATTACATGGTGTAATAATAAAAAAAATCATATTACTCTGATAGTCTTGTTTTTGTCACATCACACAACACTTTTAAAAATATAATTATACAGAAAATGAAGAAAAAAACAGCTACATATGTTGATTGTTCTTTCACATTTGCAGGCATGCAAGTTAACGATAGTTCAAACTGTAGTTGTTGGGACGGTTCTGAAACAAACATACCAAGTACCATGTTATTGGGTCAACAAACTCCCCAAGAAATGCTTAATCCATTTACCGGTAAGTAATATAAAATAAAATTACTTTGTATTTTCGACAGCAGCGTGATGATGAAGCAACGATGACGTTCCACATTTCTAAACGTATAGGAAAAAAAATCGTAAGAGCTAAAATTACGCAAGAATTCCTCAAATAGCTAGTGGAGCAGGTAACGTAGGTGTTAGGCCTTCAGACTAACGTGAACAAACAGTATAGTGTAGATCTTTATTCGAGTCAGTGTAACGAAGTGGAATTCTTTCTCTCGGTTCGTCTTTTTTTCTCTCGAAATTCATTGGTTTATTGTTATTTTTGTAAAAAAAACACAAACGCCATCATGTCCGGCAGTAGGAGCTGGGAAACATTAGAAACGTTCTTGTGTAAGGAAGTTAAAGAATACTCGAATGGGAATTCTTACTGTGCTACAACGAGTCGTAATGGAAATTGTGTTTCAGGTATAGAAGGAAAAATGGAAAGGTTATCAACTCAAACGCAGGAATCTGGTTTCGTATCAATGCATTCACAACGAAGTTCATCTCAAAGTTATACTACCTCTAGTATGACGTCCAAAAGATCTTCCCAGCAAAGTAGTATTAGTTATAATTCCCAGACGTTCAACTCGCAACAATCGTTCTCCCAAACGAAATTGTCTTCAGATAGTAACGGGTCTATTTTTACTCAGAAAACAATGACTAGTTCGAAAAGTACTGTTAGCGCATCAAATATGTCCGGAACTGGAGATTCTGCGGCATCAGAAAAATTGGTAAATGTCGTACGTTGTATTTTGACTTTGTTTCTTGTGACTTTTATCATTTACTGTAATAATAACATTTACAATGTAGAAGTTTAATTAAAAATTCTACATGTTATTTTTATGAAAATTTACATTAAATGCATCATGGATTATTGCAATTTGCAAATATAAGAATAAGTGTTTGTTTCTTTCAAATTTAAATGTGAGTTTCCATCCATGTTTGACAGGAAGTGGAATCGATTTCCTCATCGGACGCTAATGGTGTGCCGCCAGCTTTGCCAGAAAAACGGTCGAAACGAAGAAAAGAACGTCAGCCATCGCAGTACGACAATGTACCTGAAAATGAGCATTTATCAACCTGTAGTTTACATACTAATAATGGCGATAGTTCAGATGCTAGTAAACCTCCTCCACTCCCTCTCAAGAAAAGGCACAGTAAGTCGAGTCATAGTTTACAATAAACAACAGCAATACAGCAGTACTATAATGTTTCTATACTATATTCAGTACCGTTGCTTTATTGCTGTTGCAGGATTTAATTATAATATCAATTAAAAATGAAATTTAAAAAGAACAGTTAGACGAAATTATGTTAGACATTATATTTAGATTATATATTAGAATAGTCGTTCAGAATTTTTTCTTCACATAGTAGGTTAAAACTGATACAATATTTTGTATCCCCCAGTGTTCCAATCAGTGGCATATTCTGGTAAGTGGGATCCTGCCCACACAAATCAGCTATCCCTCAGCAAACACGTTCACGCTAAGTTGAAACCCTTCGTTTCACGCATTAATTATACACGATTTTTGAGCTCCTAGCTTTTTGCGGCATGTTCTCGTCGTTATTTTTCATCTCATTTTGTCGAAATGACCAACACGACTTCATTTGATATCGAGAGCTTGGATATTTTACTCATACTTTGGGCTTTTTTTATATAATTGAAATAATACCAAATACACGGAGAATAATGCGTATATTTATTTTCCCTGCGTAAAGAACAGTTACGATTACGATTTAATTACATTATCTTTTTCTCTTTAATATAACATCAAATTTCGTATATTTATTTAATTTAAATCCGTCATATTTCATGAATTTATTATTTATCATTATTTGCATTAACACCTCTGTATAACAGTTCTTAAATTTCATTAACCGTAGAAACTAATCCTCAATCACTTATGTGGGCGTCGTTATTGTTCCATTAATTAAATTGACCTTTTCTTGCTAATAGTCAGTTAACACTTACTGCTTCTTTAACTCTGGAGTTAAGCCAGCTGACTTTAGTTTACGTTTCCAGAATTGTACGTAAAGAATCAACGATGGGACATATCTCCTGTAATCTGAAATCTTTTCAATACACATGATATTTATTCGTGCTTGCATTATTATAATATTTATCCCATTTAGTTTAATCGCGAAGAGTGTAATAATTAATCGTGGTGAAAATGTTATTTAAAAGATTTCACTTTTATTCCAGTAAGTTCATACATCTCTCGTACTTGCGAATTTACATTATCTATCGAGGTACATGCTTGTGCATCAGTGTTTTTCTGTATTTTATATACCTGTGCTTTGATATTTCATTTTAACATGAATCGTGCTTGTATCTATCATATATGTATATATGTATATATATATATCATATATATATATATATATATATGTGTGTGTATATCATATATGTATGTATGTATATATGAAATCATATTTTTTATTTATTTTTTATAAATATGTTATATTGCCTAATACATTAAAATTATATAAATCTGGTGGTATCTATTTCAGTCATGGCGTACATGGAGATGTTTGGAAATTGTTCTCACAGTAACAATGACTTCATCTCTGGTCTTGGAACCCGTCATTCAATGGCAGCTTATAATTCAATGCAAGCGGAATGGCAACAACACGAAATGGCTCTTACTACGACACAATCATGTTCTTTTATGGCGCATACTATAACCACGTTACACGATAGTTCAAAGTATGTGATTTGACATCAATTTCTTGCACATCTTCCTATAGCTTGACAAAATATACAACATGTGTCTTCTTGTATTTTTTTTATATTATATTGTTGTTTCAGTACCTTCATAACGATGACACCATCGGTAACAGAAGTAGCAAATAATTCTAGTCTCCCACCCGCATTGCCACCAAAGAGATCCCGTTCCGTTAAATCAAATGTCACACCCCCGCCAATCTCGCCAAAACCAACCAGCAGCATGCAAAGCATTCATACAATCGACCCGATTGTAACATCAACTCCAGTGAAAGTAGAGGAATCTAGTTGCATTCATGATAAAAGAGAGTTGACACCTTCAACCCCAGTGAAATTGGTAATTATTCTACAAACCCGCGTATATTAACACAGATTTGTATCACACTTGAGATACTACTAACTCGACATTTTTAGAATAACGTTGCTTTAGACACCATATTACCATCCTCAAGACCTGCTAGTAATGCTTTATCATCGATTTCTATCGATGACAATACCCTGGACTTAAGAGATGTCGATCAAGACGATAGCATTTTGGATGAACTGGATATTAGCAAGTATTTAGTTTTCAAGAAATCGGACGAGGAAGGACCTGATATAAGAGGCGGTCATCCCGATGCACTGTTAATTCATGCAACCAAAGCTAATAAACATGGTAAGATTTTATTCAAATATTGGATAATCAATGTATCTTCATTAAAGGCTATAATATATTTCATATTTTTCCATGCTTCATAGATGAGAAAGAATCAGGTCAGTGTAATAATTTGTTGGATGCATCTTAAATAAGTTAACTTAAAATGTGCAAAATATAAAATTTTCCCCTATTTATCGATAAATATCACATTAATTATTAATTCGTGTATCTTTCAATTTATTTGGATGCTTGTTTAAATTTACAGACTTTTTGTATCAAGAAGCGTTCTTAACAACATATAGAACGTTCATGCAACCATTGGAATTAATACAAAAATTGCATAAACGTCATCAACGATTCTCTTGTTCTGCCGACGTTATTAAACAAAGAGCAGCCCGTGAAGCGTTTTCCTTGTTAGTTAGAGTTGTTAGCGACTTAACGTAAGTTTACTAACAAATTGCTCACGATTGTTTAAATCTTTCCTATATCTCGTAATATTTAATAATTATAAAGATGTTAACTTCTTTCAGCATGTCAGATCTCGATGATACTCTTTTGCAAACCCTAATGGAATTCGTACAGCAATTAGTATGTAGTGGTGATCTTACTATGGCGAAAGCTTTGCGTGTTAAAATTTTAGAGAAACACGCCGCGAAACAGTTACAATCTACACAACCAATTCTTTCATCATTGAGTGTGACAACAAAGCAAGCTTCCCTTCTCGATTTCAAGAGTGAACAAATTGCAGAACAAATGACGTTGTTGGATGCTGATTTGTTCATGAAAATTGAGATTCCGGAAGTGCTGATCTGGGCTCAAGAACAGAACGAAGAACGAAGCCCAAATTTAACTAGGTTCACGGAACACTTCAATAAGATGTCGTACTGGGCTAGATCGAGAATACTGGAACACAGATTAGAGAATGAAGCGAAGGACAGGGAAAAATATGTTGTTAAATTTATTAAAATAATGAAGCACCTTAGAAAAATCAATAATTTTAACAGTTACTTAGCCCTGCTTTCTGCGTTAGATAGCGCGCCTATTAGAAGGCTTGAATGGCAAAAACATATTACGGAAGGTTTAAAAGAATATTGTGCTCTTATTGATAGTTCTAGTAGTTTCAGAGCTTACAGACAAGCTTTGGCAGAAACACAACCGCCATGTATTCCGTACATGTAAGTACACGTCAATCATTTTATCTTATTAATTGAAAAGCACTGCTCACCGAAAACTATTACGGATATATGAGACAATTTTTCTACTTACAGCGGACTTGTGTTACAAGATCTTACATTCGTGCATATTGGAAATAGTGATCTGTTACCGGATGGTACCATAAATTTTTCAAAAAGATGGCAACAATTTAATATTGTTGAAAATATGAAGAGGTTCAAAAAGGGGTAAGTTCGCAACTTTAACCATTTTTTAAAATAATAATAAATATATAATTTAAATATGTAAATATATTTCAGTGCTATTTCTAAACTGAATTTTTTACTTATTGCAGGACATATTCGTTTAAAAAACACGAACGTATAATAACGTTCTTCAATAATTTCAGTGATTTCCTCTGTGAGGAGGCAATGTGGCAGATTTCAGAGAGTATTAAGCCGCGCGGTGGGAAAAAAACACAGCTACAGAACTAGAATATATCAAACCCTTTCACTGCCTGCGTCTCAAAATCGAAAAGCTGAACCAATAAATTAGAATATTTATATTTATGATATTTAGATAAATTTGCTTAATTACGAGTCGAACGAAAAATGATACAACACTCTAAGGGCGGTGAAAGGGTTAGCTATGTCTATCCCGTTTCAACAGCCTCTGTGAGGTTGTATTTTAATTTATGGAAATTTAAATATTCAATCTATATTGAAAAATACAAAAAAGAATGTGAATAGTCACTCTAGATCAAATTAAAATTTGATGTATTTGTTTCGTTTAAAAATATAAACTGCGTGTATGGATATCGATTGAATCGAAACACGTTTAGGGAGACTTTAATGAATTGGCTAGATCAATCATGTCTCAATGTATTTTTGTAGTTTTTCCTTTTTGCAATAAGATTAGTAAGGAGAAAAAGATCGTGTTTGCTATGGACCTACGTAATGTATTCTTAAATGATACAGCTGTAACGATGCTTAACGTGGCATGATGGGAAAGAAACCCCACAGACACACACATTAACTATTCTATACATACATACACATACATACACACAAACACACACATATATATATACAAACTATTTATTTATTTGCTTCATATCAGCGATATGTAAAGAGTAGTAAATGTCATTCATTTTCTTCTTCCTTTTTTTAACTTACTTAGATATATATGTAAACGTCCATTATATAGCTTTATTGTAGATAGATAAACTTTTTAAACGTCACAGAGAGACTTCTGTTGACTTTGCAAGGAAAAACACCAATTACGTTGATTAATGTAGAGCTATTGTAGTCTCAGATTAGTGCAGGATTGATGCGCTTTTCTGAACACATGGCACGACTGAGCGTAACTGTTACATATACTATTGTATATGATTCTAGGAAACATTTTTTTGTTGGAAACTCGTTAATAGGTATCCAAACTTTCAGCTTTAAGTCAAATAATGGTTACCTAAAAGTGTGTAGGTAAATTAAATGTAAAAAAGAAGACCCAAGATTATAGCTGAAGAATTTAATCGAAAATTTATTCACACCGCCTTTTCATTTTCGCCGATAATTCAACAGATATGTATTTTCCATTTATTTACTAGTTTCTGTATGTTTTTGAGTGATGATAACGAGAGTTTCTTTCACAATACATTCCGAAATGGAGTGAAAGAATCTGATTGAATTAATTTCATCAAATTAAGGGGTAGCAAAAAGGAAAAACATGTTGTTGCTCCTATAATTTTCGTACTCTTTGTTAAGTCAAAACTTAACAGAGTGCATCGAGTCTATTTGATTTTCTATGATAAATGAAATCGCTGTAATGATATATGGCTGTCTGTGTGCCTCATATTATAGAATGAATGAATATCTACCTATTAACGTTTCTCCGATCTCATGTTTAATAATATAAATATCTCGTATACAAAATCCATGGGCAAAACTATCTAATAATCGGGCTTAAGACACATAAAACGTGAACCGTAATCTGCATGTTAACGTACGATCTTACGTTTTACGTACGATCGTGCTGATTGTACACTTTTATTCATATTAAAAAGGGCCTAAGCAATTAATAGTTAGCGTCGGTTAATAAACATGCCGTTAATTAAAATTTAAAACATTGAACACAGGAGGAAATAAAAGATAAAAACAGTCATGATCTAGACTCAAGGTGTAGTTAGAGATTTGCTATTGTATACATGCGTATATAAATTCGATAACAGTTGTCAATTTCTGAACATGCACCAAATATACATACGTAATGTAGCTTTCAATATTAATTAACAAAGAATAATAGACGTTATAATAAACCATGTTTCCATAAAAATAGATGCACTCCGTTAATCGCAACTAGAAACATTTTGAAAGAGAAAGAGAAGGAATGAAATCAATCTTAATTGTGAATTTTTAATCAAACAATGACATATGTTGCGCCGATATAGTTTACGAGTAACTATAAATATAACGATAAACCTGAATTTCTTTTTCGTAACATGAGAGCGAATGTGCAAATCTGTGTGGATAAAGTCAAACATCTCTGTTTAATAATTCGTATGTATAAGAATGGTTCGTCTAATCTAAAGCTAAGAAAAGGTTTATTAACGTTGTAAATAGTTTGGTTGTATCCATAATTTCTTGTATGTACGCGAGTGCCCATTTATTATTCACGATTGTACAGCGGTATATTCTCGTCTCTAATTATATTTACACGTGACGTAATTAATCTTATATGATTTTTAAGTTGACAGAAATCATTGTGATGCCATATTACATTCTCACTTGATAGCGAGCACATGATCTTTATGTTATTTTTATTTAATTGACGAAAATTAAATACACAATTCATTTTGCCAGCTATTCGTAAGTCGTGCAGTAAACAGATATACATAAATTCCTTATGACAAAAAAAAAAAGAAATAAATTAAAAAATTATCATTTATAATTCAAAATTTCATTTCATTCAAACTTGAATTTCATTTACACAGAATGTAAGATAAAATACAGATCCACTTGTGGTATTTACTATTTACATGCTATTTAAACTTTATTATTCGTATTGTAAAATAAATTATAATTTTCTACCGTCACAAGGAATTCTTATGTGTATTCTTATCTCACTGCATAATCTTGACA